GTAAATATCCCAAAGAAAAAGTTTGCAACATAATGAAAATATCTCAAAGAAAAAGTTTGCAACATAATGTAAATATTCCAAAGAAAAAGTTTGCAACATAATGTAAATATCCCAAAGAAAAAGTTTGCAACATAATGTAAATATCCCAAAGAAAAAGTTTGCAACATAATGTAAATATCTCAAAGAAAAAGTTTGCAACATAAGGTAAATATCCCAATGAAAAGGTTTGCAACATAACGTGGAAAGAATCACTGGATCCAGGTTTGCAACAGGAGGGCTATTATCTTTACTATCGATCTAAAAAGTCTGCAACATCTTCCAGAAAATGTTAACAAGTATTTAATCAGGTGAGTTAAAGATGCATCAAGCAGAGTCAGCTTTAAGGAACTGCACTGAGAAGGGTTTCTTATCACGCATCATATCTCTGTGTAGATTAACCTGCATCCTATCTCAGTGAAGATTAACCTGCATCCTGTATCTGTGTAGATTAGCCTGCCTCCTATCTCTGAGTAGATTAACCTGCATTCTATCCCTATATAAATTAACTTGCATCCTATCTCTGTGAAGATTACCCTGCATCTTATATCTGTGTAGATTAACCTGCATCCTATCTTTGTGACGATTAACCTGCATCCTATCTCTTTGTAGATTAACCTTCATGTTATCTCTGTGTAGATTGACTTGAACCCTATCTCAGTGTAGATTAAGAACAAAAGATCAAAGGTCAGAGCAGAAGGCCTATTGGTTCATTCGAGGCAGCTCCTGTTTATAACCACCCAGTCCCACTCATATACATGTCCAACCCACTCCTAAAGCAATCGAGGGACCCCACCTCCTCCACGTTACGGGTAATTGGTTCTACAAATCAACAACCCTGTTACTCGAACCAGTATTTACCCAAATATTTACTAAATCTAAACTTATCCAATTTATACCCATTGTTTCGTGTTCTGTCTTGTGTTGATACTTTTAATACCCTATTAATATCCCCTCTGTTATGTCCATTCACCCACTTGTAAACCTCTATCATGTCACCCCTAACTCTTCGCCTTTCCAGTGAATGCAATATAAGCTTTGTTAATCTTTCTTCACATGATAGGTTTTTAATTTGGGGAATTAACTTTTTCACCATACGCTTATTACGTGCTAGTGAATTTATATCCATTCTAAAGTACAGCGACCAAAACTAAACTGCATAATCTAAATAGGGCCTAACCAGAGCAAGATATAGTTGAAGAACAACATCAGGTGTCTTGTTATTAACGCTTCGATTAATAAGTCCCAGCGTCCTCATTACGAAAATTCATGGATTGATCTTTTGGTTTTAAATTCATACTAATCATTACTCCCAGATCCCTTTCGCAATCCGACTTCGCAAACTCATCACTATCTAGCTCGTATCTTGTAACATTATCATCATTACCTAGGCTCAAAACTTTACATTTATCAGAATTAAACTGCATCTGCCAATCTTTTGACCATTTCAAACTCCCCTATTTAGATCGACTTGAGGTAATAGTGAGTCTTTTTCCGTGTTTATTTCCATACCAATTTTCGTATCATTGGCAAATTTGCAAATGTTGCAACTCAAACCTGAATCTAAATCACTTATATATATTATAAACAACAGAGGTTCCAGGACCGAGCCTTGAGGCGCTCCACTTACAACATTTTCCCACTCTGACTTAACCCCAATTTATACTAATTATCTGTTTCCTTTGGTATGGCCAAGCCCTAATCCAACTTAATATAGCACCCCCAATACCATGAGCCTCTATCTTTTTAATCAATCTTTCATGTGGCACTGTATCAAAAGCTTTGCTAAAGTCAAGGTGCACAACATCACAATCCTTACCACTATCAACTGCCTCAACTATGCTCAACTATGAACTATTAACACGCATCTTATCTCTGTGTAGATTAACCAGCATCCTATCTCAGTCTAGATTAACCTGCATCCTATCTCTGTGTAGATTAACCTGCATCCTAACTCAGTCTAGATTAACCTGCATCCTATCTCTGTGTAGATTAACCTGCATCCTATCTCAGTCTAGATTTACCTGCATCCTATCTCTGTCTAGATTAACCTGCATCCTATCTCTTTGTAGATTAACCTGCATCTTATCTCTGTCTTGATTTACCTGCATTCTATCTATGTGTAGATTAACCTGCATCCTATCTCAGTCTAGATTAACCTGCATCCTATCTCTGTGTAGATTAACCTACATCCTATCTCAGTCTAGATTGACCTGCATCCTATCTCTGTCTAGATTAACCTGCATCCTATCTCTTTGTAGATTAACCTGAATCTTATCTCTGTCTTGATTTACCTGCATTCTATCTATGTGTAGATTAACCTGCATCCTATCTCTGAGTAGATTAACCTGATTTATCTCTGTCTAGATAAACCTGCATCCTATCTCTGTGTAGATTAACCTATATCTTATCTCAGTTTAGATTAACCTGTATTCTATCTCAGTATAGATTAACCTGTATCCTATCTCTGTGTAGATTAACCTGCATCCTATCTCAGTGTAGATTAACCTGCATCCTATCTCTGTGTAGATTAACATGCATCCTATCTCAGTGTAGATTAACCTGCATCCTATCTCAGTGTAGATTAACCTGACATTGTTCCTTCTCTTCGAGGTAATTATCTGGAACTGCAGTAAACAAAATATATGGATTAATCTTTCTGTTTTTGATGTAAAATGCAATGACGTCACTTTACGCAGAGATGGATCTTCGGTTCCGATGGTCGAACTGGTTGGGCACACTTCCTTTGGTTCATCTTTAACTCCCGAGTGCAATTCTGTCCTCATATCCCAAGTGTTATATTGTCATATTTGACAAGGGTTTTCTCTTCATAATTATCATCGCAACTGTCAATTAATTGATATTTATTTAATTTAGTGGGACTCTAACCACTAAATCAGCAGCTGTATTAGCTACGTTGATACAGTAGCTGTATCAACGACACAACGATGAGGACACACTCGCTTGAGTCAGCGAGTGTTCTGGTTTGGGTCAGAACACACAGGAGAGACACATAAACAATAACATTACAGTTGGCGAGCTTCAAAGCCATATGAGATCATCCATAATAATTACCTTGTGTTGAGGAAATGGAGAAGGGAATTATCAAGAGTAAGGATGGGACGGGGGGAAGGAATGGTGCCCAACCACTTGAACGGTCGGGTATTCGACCTGCATGAAGCGAGACCGTCGCTCTACCGTCCAGCCAAAGTGGTTGGGCTGTGTTGAGGAGAGTTCGCAACACTTCGGAATTCATTATCTATGTAATCAATATACGAGCCTCATGGCCGAGTTAAGAGGTACGACTCTCATCATTGCTCTTGGTGACTCTTGGACCAGCTGAAGTAGTATCATCGTTAAGAATAGTGTTTTATTTAAAGTATAAGCGGAAAAGGAGAGCCCAGAACCTAATTAATGTGTCATTGGTACGTGGTACGTTTAATATTAACTCACGAGACATTGGAATATGTGTGTAAATAGGAGCTGTAATCCCAGCCCGCTCTCTTAGTGTGCCACTCTGTCAAAAATCTAATCTTTTAGCCCAACCAGAACCCAAGAATTCCAGCTAAGCTATCGAGTCCGATGCATTGAAAAAGAGAAGATTAGTGAACAGTTACTTCTCTTAAGGGGCCATCATTTTGTAAAGTGAAAGTTGTTCAATCAAACTTTATTGACTAGTTGTATATGAAAAGGTCCAAGTTTCAGCGTCGCAACCTAAATAGAATGTGAGAGGAAAAAAACGTATTTTTCAACGAATTTTCCCATTTTTAAATATTACTCTTATAAACCCAAGTGTGAACTGATATCCTTTCCATGACACTCGGCTATCACAGCAGCATATAATAAAGGATTTAATGTAGACGTTTTATCCAATATATGTTTAGTTTGACTAATAAACAATATTAAAAGTCCCCACAAACATTATGCAACAGCATTATGTATATAAATATTTATAAAATCAATAAATAAACTTAGGAAAATAATAATTAAAACATATTGTAGAGGCAGAAACTCTACATATAAGGCGCAAGATTCATGTAAATTAATTAATAAATGAGTCGAGTTGAGTCAGCTTGTAGTTGTAAATGATTTACTTAAACAAAATGAAGTACTGTGATTCTGCCTTATGTGGCAGAGGTTGACATCGACCGATTTACTCCAAAATTTTCACCATTACAGATAGACATACGTTTAGTAAGGTGAATAAGTTCTATGCACATCGCCAGATAAAAAAGAGAAAAAATGAGAAAAAAAACGAAATTAATTTTTTACCTAAATATGCATTGGATAAAAATAATCATCAAAATCCTTTATTATTTGTTATTGTGATAGCTGAGAGTCATAGACATGACTTCAGTTGACACTTGTGTTTGATGGTAATTTCTGATTTTTTGTGAAAAATAGGTATTTAATTTTTATTCTCCCTTTCTATTAATGCTACGATGCTGAAACTTTTACTAGTTGCAGTCCTTTTCATATACAACTAGTCAAAAAAGTTAGATTGAAATTGAACAACTTTGATATATATTGAAATTTCGATTTTTTTTTAAACTTATGCCCCCAGGGTGCGTGTGTAACGATGGTCGTGATAACCCAAAAACCGCGATCTATTATTTGCGAAGACGGGCTGAACCCCCGTAAAATCGCAACTCACTAATCACGGGTATATCCGCTTTTCAGGCTTCGAAAATAAACAGATGTCTGATCTCAATATGAACAGTACGTGGACTGTAAAATTACGTTCAAAACACACAACACTTTACCGCAAGCGCGAAAGTGTTAAGTCTTTTCCTTATTAAGACTACTCATAGCCCAGTTGATAGAGCTTCGGCCTCACACGTCTGGGGACCAGGGATGGAGTCTCCTATCGCCCAGGTGAGTGGGACACCAGACTTTATGTTGGGAAGTTGCTTCTGTGTGGATGTCTCTAATGGTAGTTACTGATAACAACCTCGAAGAGTTGATTAATTGTAGACATTTAAACATGTCACAAAAAAACTTCCATCAGCCCCAAGACGCTTAAGCGTGTACACAGGGTCATTGTTCTCAACAATACAATATACTCTCTCAACATCTAATGCTCCAGCAACATCAAATGTTCCAGCAACATCAAATGTTCCAGCAACATCAATTGTCTCAGCAACATCAAATGTCCCAGCAACATCAAATGTCCCAGCAACATCAAATGTCCCAGCAACATCAAATGTTCCAGCAACATCAAATGTCCCAGCAACATCAAATGTCCCAGCAACATCAAATGTCCCAGCAACATCAAATGTCCCAGCAACATCAAATGTCCCAGCAACATCAAATGTCCCAGCAACATCAAATGTTCCAGCAACATCAAATGTCCCAGCAACATCAAATGTTCCAGTAACCTCAAATGTTCCAGCAACATCAAATGTTCCAGCAACATCAAATGTTCCAGTATTATCAAATGTTCCAGCAACATCAAATGTTCCAGCAACATCAAATGTCCCAGCAACATCAAATGTTCCAGCAACATCAAATGTTCCAGTAACATCAAATGTTCCAGCAACATCAAATGTCCCAGCAACATCAAATGTTCCAGCAACATCAAATGTTCCAGCAACATCAAATGTTCCAGCAACATCAAATGTTCCAGTATTATCAAATGTTCCAGCAACATCAAATGTTCCAGCAACATCAAATGTCTCAGCAACATCAAATGTCCCAGCAACATCAAATGTTCCAGTATTATCAAATGTTCCAGCAACATCAAATGTCTCAGCAACATCAAATGTCCCAGCAACATCAAATGCTCCAGCAACATCAAATGTTCCAGCAACATCAAATGTTCCAGCAACATCAAATGTTCCAGCAACATCAAATGTTCCAGCAACATCAAATGTTCCAGTATTATCAAATGTTCCAGCAACATCAAATGTTCCAGCAACATCAAATGTCTCAGCAACATCAAATGCTCCAGCAACATCAAATGTTCCAGCAACATCAAATGTCTCAGCAACATCAAATGCTCCAGCAACATCAAATGTTCCAGCAACATCAAATGTTCCAGCAACATCAAATGTTCCAGCAACATCAAATGTCTCAGCAACATCAAATGTCTCAGCAACATCAAATGTCTCAGCAACATGAAATGCTCCAGCAACATCAAATGTCCCAGCAACATGAAATGCTCCAGCAACATCAAATGTCCCAGCAACATCAAATGTTCCAGCAAGATCAAAGTTTCTTCACACATGAAATGCTTGTTCCCTTATGCGGTCGTATTCTGTGACAGATCCGACAGGCATATCAATTATCTCTGAAATCAAATAACTTACGAATTAGCAATGGTGACAATGAAATTTAATTGTAGTTATATATTGATATATTGGTTCTCATTTTTCGCCCGTATATATCTCAGGAGCTCTTTAAGGCTAGAGCCCAAGCTTCCTCTTCGATGGTAGGTAACTGAGGATTACCAGATAAGCTCTTAAGTATACAACTCATCTTGAGTTCATAGAGCCTAATATAGCTTCCTCTTTGGGCTCTATATTTTTATTGTTATTATTATTATTATTATTTTACTGTTCTTTCGATCCCATGAAGGAACAGACAGATCTGGTATTGTATGTTCGGTTCTTGGCTCTCGCATTTTCATCTGCAGGTGTTCGGTAATTCGGGCAGAACATGAGTTACTTGCCTTGTTTACATTTGTAAATACTTTGGGGTTTATGTGCTTTTTTTAGTTTGCATTTTTGGTGAAATCGTTGCAGAATTAGCATCTCATATTCATTTTCTAGCAATTTGTTGCAAACAAATCAACAATTTGTTGATCAACACCCTGATCCCAGAAGTAGGTTATGTGTGATGCTGCTCTGTCTCAGGCAGTGATGCTAATGAGCAGAGTCGTAGAAGGCGTGATGGGGGCTCGAACCTATACGCTGGTTGTTCCCATGCACACGCTCTAGACCACTATGCCGCGACATGGTCAAACGAATTGCAATCTGGCGGTACTACTGCACCCTCTAGGATTCCTGAGGCTTCCGCTGAAGCCGCACCTAGGTTTCACGCAATCTCCGCCATGAACTCTGACGTCTAGGAACGTTCAACCTCTGACGCTCCTCTTTCGGCCAGAGTGCATGGGTTTCAGTGTTTCCATACAGAAGTCAGCAAAGAGGACTGCTACTGGGGACCCCGTGGCTTCTCTGTCTGTCTGCATATACAAGTCTCTCCAAGGGGTTGTAAATTAGGCCATTTTGGTGCAGATCTCCAGATTACGGATGGCAGACTCTGGAATGTCTGGCTTGGAGTAGTATTGTCACGACAAATTCTGTCTATCTGTCTACCTAATTCTATCAACATTAAGTTGATGGAGGGGTCTACAAGGACGTTCATAAATAGGGATTCCACGTCTAAAGATGCTATGATTCCTTCTGGTTTAATGGTCTCCACTATGTCTAAGAAATCGGCGATTGATTTCAAGGTGTATTCGGTCATATGTACCAAATACATATGACTCCATATGTATTTGGTACATATGGAGTCAGTATAGTGTTGAGTCGTTTAGCTATGTAATACGAGGGTGTAGGGATGTTACTGATGATGGGTTGTAGAGGAGTACCAGGATTGTGGGTTTTAACATCACCGTAAATGGTTGTGGGTTGGTTGTGGTCACCTTGAACCGTTTGCAGGTGGATGCTGCCTCTTTTTAGCATTCGCAGCATCTGTTATACGGTTGACTTTCTTCTAGACATATTCAGTTGGGTTTCTGGTTATCCTCTTGAATTTTGCCTCCTCTTGTAGAATTTCTTTTAGTTTGGTGACATATTCATCAGTTGGGATGAGGACGAAGGCTGCTACCGGATCTCCGGAATGTGATGTTCTTCGTGGATTTAAGTTGCTTGTCTGCTTCTTTGTGTTTATTATCTAGGGTGTTGCTCCTGTAGTTACCTCTCTTCTTACTGGCATCCGCTAACAGTTCTCCTTGAAGGGAAGCTGTGGTGGTGATGGTATTTTGATCGTCTAGCTTGTTTATACCATCTAGTAGCATTTCTATCTCCAGTCTCTTCTGGTAAGGTCTTGGGTTGGAGAGGTTGTGGCAATTCAGTGCGAAGTTTAGGAGTTCTGCTTCTCTCCATTCACCTGCATTCTCCCTGAATGGGTTCATATCCAGTAAGGTTGATAAAACCATTGACTGCCTCTGAGACCTTGCGAGTACCCCCATAGAAGGCTATTAACTTTTTCATAGTTTTCCTCATGGTGTCTGGCTTTAAGGTTAGTGAGTTCTCTATCAATGAACTCACGAACTCTTATGCTGTTGGGAACGCCTCAATTTATACATCGGCTTGTGGTTTGTTCTATTTGCTATTGAAGATTGATAACGGTTCCCTTCTTTAACACGTTTTATTAGATCCTTTAACACGTGATATTTGATCTTTATTAGATCAAACCAATATATATATATAGTGTATAGCTTCGTTTCTTGCTGCTGCCAGAAACGTTATCAAACATTATGCTGCGTTATAATGTTTGAAAACTTTAGCAGCAAGCTTTGGTATAAGCATATATGGTTAACATAAGAACATAAGAACAAAGGCAACTGCAGAAGGCCTGTTGGCCCATACGAGGCAGCTCCTATTTATAACCACCCAATCCCACTCATATACATGTCCAACCCATGCTTGAAACAATCGAGGGACCCCACCTCCACAATGTTACGCGGCAATTGGTTCCACAAATCAACAACCCTGTTACTGAACCAGTATTTACCCAAGTCTTTCCTAAATCTAAACTTATCCAATTTATACCCATTGTTTCGTGTTCTGTCTTAAGAACGCGAAATGACCTATTAACTATGTTAATAGGTCAATTATTAACTATGTTAATAGGTTAACTATGACCGCAATGCTTAAGCTGTTGATCTTATACTGTAAGCTTTATATGCTACTATCTTTTTTCTTGATCTCGGGATTAAGAAGAGGAATCAAATTACCGGAATTCATGGTAAAAAAACTTGTTTCCTTTATGAGTAGAGCTACCAGTATTTGCTGTCTTCTCTGGTCAGTGGTGGATGACAGGATTGTTGTATATTCTACTAGCATGTTCCTAGCGAGTGTTGTGTTATGTACACTCTGCATATGGTTTCTAGGGGCACCAACTTTCGTACATATAAAAAGAATGTTCATAGAAACATTCACTCTTCAAGTATATTATTCTATGAAAAAATTGCACCGTTTTTAGTAAATATAACACCAGCAGTTGGTGTTATTCTCACTAAACGTCTGACATCAGGTATCTGCATAAATATGTCGTCAACGTACCTGCAGTATATGGCAGGTTTTAAGTCCATGTCAACTAAGATCCTCTGCTCTATGGTACCCATGTAGAAGTTCGTAAACTGGACACCTAGGTGCCCATCGGGACTCAAGAAGGATGTCTTGAGTGGGTTCTTCCCTAGGTGTCCTGTTTGGGATTTTTACGTGGATATCATAGAGCAGAGGGTATTAGTTGACATGGACATAAAAGCTGCCATATACTGCAGGTACGTTGACGACATATTTATGCAGATACCTGATGTCAGACGTTTGCAGCAGTTGAAGGAAGCATTCGAGCAAATTTCGGTGTTAAGTTTCACTTACGAGATGTAGATTGATGGGAAGCAGTCTTTTCTGGATGTAACAGTCGCGGAAAGGAATGGAGGCTTCCACACTGCAGTCTACACTAAAGAAATGAACATAGGAATGTGCCTTAATACCAATAGTGACTGCCTAGCCAGGTATAAGAGGAGTGTTGTCAACGCTTACATCGACCGAGCTCTCACTCACAGCTCTGTTTGGAAGCATGTCGACAAACAACTCTGTTATCCCCACAGACACAAATCAGAAGATACAATTAACAATTTACTACAAAAACAAGAAGACAGCAAACCTTCTTATGAAGAAATCTCCAGACACCAAACAGAATGCCTTAAAAGAGACCAACGTCATCTATGCCTTCACATGCCCACTTGGGAACTATCAGCCCCAAAGATCTTAGTATACAGGCAAGACAACAATGTCGCTCTCTCTCTCTCTGTCTCTCTCTCTCTAGGCGAATAACAATGCACAAGCAACAGGGCTCCATGAAAGAGCATATAATCTCCTCACACAACCAGACCATCACCAGAGAAATCTTAACAAGCAACACAGAAATTATCGACAGGTACATCGACAACAGGAGACTCGACATCAACAAGGTCCCTACACATAAAAATGTCAAAACACGAGAAACGGAACGTGAGAAAAACAAGAATAAGAATAAAGGTAATTGCAGAAGGCCTATTAGCCCATACTAGGCAGCTACTATTTACAACTGCTGTTGTTGTTGTTGTTGTTGTTTTAGATTCAGCTACTCAGAAAAAAATTCCAAGTAGCACGGGCTATGGTGAGCCCGTAAGTGGAGGCTTTTTGGAGCCATTGTCTGTATCAATAGCTGATACTGGAGATCTGGGGATGGATGGAGGTCTTCATGGTGGATTTCAGCCTCGGAAGGCTGGCTCTAACAGTTATGGAGCTGGTCGGTGAGTGTTGACCTCTAGATCTTCCGCTTTTTTTTGGCTGAGCCATGCTGTCGTTTGGTGAGGTGGCCTCCATGAGGAAGTCTTGTATCGAGTAGGTGTCGAATTTGTGCTGTAATGGTGGAGCTCCTACTAAGATTTCCTGGTCTGAAGAGTCCATAACAACTGTAATTGGTGATTTTGACTTTCGTCTCGCAGCCTAAGGTAGGCTCAGGTGTCATGGGCTAGTAGTAGAAGCTATCTCAGGAGCATTGGTGGTGCTGAGCTATGGAGGGAAATACCTCTATTTGTGTCACCTGGGTCTTGGGTGGTTCTGGAGTCTGTTGAGATCGACCTCGTGGTTGTTCTGGTGGTAGTCTCTGGAGTGGTAGTGGAGGCAGTGAGACTTGCGTCCGGGGTGATGATGGGGTCCAGGCCGTTGGCTAAATACAGTGCGTTGAGTTCCTTGACGAATCGTTGATTGTCTGGTCCAGCAAGCCTCTTCACTAGTCGAATAAGACCAGGAATAACGCCTGCACGTGATGCAAGGGACAGTGCGGGTGTTGGTTGGACCTTAGGTTCCCAGTATGACGGCCGGGTGATGTGTTGGAAAGAGCCACTGTTTGGTAGGGCTGGTATGGTCGTATTCTGCCGGTACGGTGCGTAGTTCTGGCTTATAGAAGGAAGGCTTGGGAACTGGTTGGTCCAAGTTCTAAGGTCGCGGCGACTGCCTTCTGGGTGGTGGTCTTCTCTTTAATTTTCTTCGGATCCTCTTTCCTTTTAATGCAGAGGTAGAAGGTGGTGGCGTGCTGTTCTCCACAGTTCGCGCATTTCATGGTGGTGGTGGTACAGTCCTTGTAGTTGTGAGTGCTGGAGCATGAGCTGCACTTAGCCGATTGTTCTGAGCACTTGTTGGAGAAGTGTTCATAGCTGAAGCACTTGTACATAAGAACATAAGAACATACTGGATCCTGCAGCCTCTCCGAGGCACAACCAGGGTTTTACACAACTCCCCCCATGCATTCGAGCTATGTCAATAGGCCGTTCTCCCTCTTCGCCCTTTCTTCATTATACACAGAAATTACAATTGCGTGATGCATCAAATGAATGATGGCTATTCATGTTAATAGGCCTATTGAACGGCCTATTGACATAGCTATTGACATTTCTTAGCCGAGTCTAAGCCGAGCAATAGTAACATTAAGAAGTTTGCAGATTTTATTGGATGATCCATAGATGTGTGGCTCTTCGCATGATAGTATGATGATAGATGGAATTACTAGTGTAGATTTCACTTTGCCTCAGATTTACAAGGTTTAGTTGAAGTTCTTGTTGTATTATTGCTCTCTGTCTACCTAGAAACCCTCGTAGGTTACACTCAATTTCTTTCTCCTTTAAAGAAAGATTCTTTGCCTAACTCATCATCTCTATCATGCATTCGTAGGCCAACATGAGATGAAATCCACAAAAAAATGTACTCTGTTACCATCACTAATAATTTTGTTGAATTTATGTCTAGCAATTGACACGAGCATGCTACAGTTATGTCTTAAAGAGTTGAGTGCAATAAAGGATGATCAAGAGTCTCCTATAATTAATGTATCAAGTTTGGAGACATTTCAGTGCAAGAAGCAAGGCAAATATTTCGGTGTGAAAGGTAGAGGCCCAGTTGTTTATACGGACTCCCCGCTCAAAATATAAGCCATCACCCATTGTCAGGACAACTGAACTTCCAGTTGCACCCGTGGGGCGGTGTAGGGAACCATCAGTGTATATGTTTGAGAGAGAGAATGCTCTGTGGACAGACCATAAATATGGCTTAAGGCGTTGAGCTTTGCCTGAAGACGAAGCTTGGACTTGTGATGGACCTCAGAGACATCTATGATCCAGGTTTTGAACTAAACAGTTGACCCTTGTTCTGGCCTGAGGGGGTTGGGGCTTATGGAACTTTAACCTCCAATGAGAGCTCTGGTTGTTGCACCAGACTGTTACTTGCGTACAGGTGGACAACGTCCCCCAACCACTCTCTGCCAGAACAGACAACTCCCACTTCCATTGTCGACCAACAATGAACACTGAAGTGCTTGAAATTTACTCAGGAGATCACCCTGTATGTCTCTTGATCTCGGAGAGGGGTTCAGCATCACACGTTTAGGGGTGTGGCTCCAACACTGGTCTCGTTGTCTTGTGTACACACCCTACTTGAGCCGCCGTGCCTCCCCACACTCTCTACTTGTTTGGAATGACCTCCTAAATTCCTCTTTTGTGAATTAGAATTTTCTGCCACTCTATCCGCAGATGTGATCCTTTCTCTCTCTCTCTCTCTCTCTCTCTCTCTCTCTCTCTCTCTCTCTCTCTCTCTCTCTCTCTCTCTCATGCTTTCTAGGAAGCCTCACCAGGACAAGAGCAAAAGCTAGCTAACAATGTACATTTAATAAACAAAGAAATAGAACACATTACATAACATAAGAAAAATGGAACATTATTATACAACACTCTAAGCTGCTACAACCCAATAGCATTTCAATATCATACCCTGGCTTCATCAACCATCCATATCAAGTGGCTGCCCAACTCTTGGCTTATCACTTACTACTCCCTCACAAAGTGGGATTGCAATCTCATCACAATAATATTGTACAATCAGCCCTAAAAGTATATAAAACTCAGCCTGTTGCTTAAACACCAGAAACATCTGCATAAATGTTCCCCAACACAAGAAAA